AAAGAAGGCAAGGTTAAACAGCAAGGACTAAAACTATTTAGCATCTATTGGCAAACGACTTCATGTATGTTTGGGGTAGACATCACAGTAGTTGTCCGCGGTACAGATGGCTTCCTTTACAAAAAATAAAACTGCTATTAAATTAATTCAGCCTCGTAGGCCTTATCGATTGAGAACCACCGAAAACGCCAACAAAAAAAAGGTTAACGACTGTGAAATAGTATCTAGGCATTTGAAACAGATTAACTCCGCCCTGTAACTAGTCGCCGAAAGAATAATTCACAAATCAATGGCTGCTCACTCGCCGCCCCCGTGTGAGCTCCGGCGGGACGGTCTTAAGCCACGCCGAGGCGAGGCGGTGCGCAGGTGGCAAGGGGAGCGGCTCCCTCCAAATCCGCCGCACAGAACACACACAGCGCGGCCACGCCGGCTTCTCCCGCCCGGCGCAAGGGGGGACCAACACACCGTCACAAAGACGAGGCGCAGCCTCAGCACAGCGCCTCGCATTTCACCACGAATTAATAGCGAGCTGATAGGGCGTCATTTACGGCGGAAGAGGTCGAAGCGGTCATGGCACGCGGATGATAAATATTATAATTTTTGCCATTTCGTCAGCATATTCATTAAGCTGGTCACCCAAAAAGAGGAACTGTACAGACAAAAGCCGTTAAAATGGTTTTGGGCGCGTCGGCGAAAAAAAAGGTGGTTCAGAATCCTCAGTGGCAAAAAGGCTCAGATTTAGGAAGTCGTGCTTGCTGTCACCCCTGCTCCTTCCCCCCCCCAACACACACACACACACACACACACACACAGCACTACACTTGGCTCTATCATTAGTCAATTTTACAAAAAAAAAAAAAACACACAATTTAACTAAATATATCATTTAAAATGAATTGCTAGAAGTCCATCGATTTTGATTCTGTACCACAGCGGAATAGCGGTAATGCTGTTGACTGACATTAACAACTTTTTATTATCTTGTTTCTTGCAACAAAAAAAAGTGTTAAAATACCCAAATAAAATACCTTCAGAGACGAGAGAATGCACTGCAAAAATGTTGCAAAACGGCAATGGCATTCCATTACACCAAAGCTTTATCATTACAATAAAAACAAAAATCAGTATTAAAAAGACGACTATCGAAGATCGAAAGCCAGCGCCTTACTTACATCGTCATAAGAGCCTATCGTGGTCCGATTATCAATGCTTTATATAGAACCAAGACTATTTTTGATTCACAAGTCGTAAAAAATACATAAAATAATTATGTCTAGTATCATGACTAGTCTTGCAGTATTTGTCAATGAACACATTATGACACCAAATTCTTAATCTGGCAATTTTTATCCAAAGCAAGACACATGACAGAAGGAACAATTAACGCTTGATTTTACAACTGCGTTTTTGTTAATGCAAATGTTGGTCCTACATCCAGTCCCTTAACTACTACGCTTCCTGCAGCCTTATTGCCTAATAACTGTAATTTCATAACCCAAACAGCAAGCTGACGGCGTGCAGTCGGTGCTCGACTCCCTAAAATAGGTGCAGACAGGCCCGACTGATATTAAGGTAAAACGTGGATATACAGAAGAGTTTCCAAAATGGAAACGAGGAATAAATGGTGGTTCAAAAATAAATGAACCCTTCTGGCCATTGACCTGATTTACTTTTTTTTTTTAGTGGGAGATGCGGCAGATCTCAGCATTAATTGGAAAGAGCGGTGGATTTGGAGACAAAAATGAAGATAAATCAATTCGATATATTTCTGCAAATGGTGAGGAGGGAATGAAGGAAGAGTGACAACTACACAAAATACACTATGAAATTTGATTCACTATTTACATTAATTGCATACATAATTTCACACGTCAGAAAAAATAGCATGTTAAATATTGATGATGAAAGAAAATTACACCATATGGTACAAGGGTCAAAGAAATTCAAGCAGAAATTGCATGAAATATTAAATCAGGTCAAATAACTAAATATACCATTTCTAAATCTTATCAAAACAATAATATATAATTATGTGATAGTTAAATATATAATATATTATTAATAATAGAATTATTATAATTATGTTGAGTATCTGTTGTCGACAAGGATGGAGTGTGTGTGTGTGCGTTGCGGCAATCCCCCTTTTTGAAAGCTTTCAATCACATTTTCATTTAGGCAAATGTTCAGAAAATCGGCTCAGCTCGGATAATATCGCAGCCGTCACACAATTTGGACTAACCTGATGGCTGCTGATCCTTAAAACAAACATTGCTCTTCAAATACTCAAAATACGCACATAGACATTACCTACTGACGTATTTATAAAATGATTAATCGCATGAAATCCAGTGAATCGCATGCAAATGCAAAGATGCAGATATGAAAAATTTAGGTACTGCAGGCTGAACATAGACACCAGTGCAGATGTGTGTGAAGAGCAAATGCACAAAATACTTATGAAATCCTTATTTGCACAAACTGAATTCTGAAATGCCAACATACACACACACACACACACACAAATAATCGTGTTTAAACTGTTTAACTGTTTAAATTTATAATAATCTTTTGGCAGTTTGCGGCCTTTCAGGTTAAATAATAGAAATTTGAGACTGCTTTAACAAAATCACAGATATGTTAAGGACTTCACATGTTGTCCTTGCCATAATTTATTTTGCTTTTTTCGTAAATTTGCACAAAGCCTGAACATATTGTTGTAATTATTCAAGTATTCCGGAATTTTATATATAAAATTATATATATATATATATATATATATATATATATATATATATATATATATATATATATATATATATATATGATTACTGTTATCAGTCTTCGTCGTAAAATTAGTAGTGAGAGTAGAATTTTTGCTGTTACCATCTGGGAGCGAATGTCCTTATAACAGTATTCAAATATCTTGCAAATCTACCTCTATAATACTGCAGCTCCTCCCTTGTGCGTTCCATTTCATTTCCTGAAAAAGACAAGCCGACCCCTGAGACGAAAAAAAAGGGGGCGGGCGGGGGGGGGAGGAGGAGGGTGCGTGTACCCCCCTCCCCCAAGCCTGGGTTCAGGTGGGCTTGCACGGGGCAATACGCCTAAACTTGCAGGGGTGTGCTCTTGCACCTGGGCTTATCTCATTTGACTAATAATTTGACAGCGACTGAAAGAACATACGTGTCCCTGGGATCGTAAAATTATACCATGAACGCAGTAACGATGAAACTAATTTCGTTGCGAAATGGCTCCTTGCATATCGCGTTCCTTAATAGCGCGAAATGTAATGGAGGTGCGGCCCGTTTGGAAAAAGAAGCAGTTCTTTTACATATGAATGTCATATAATTAAAACAGATTATACTGATTATATATAGGGGTGTTACCTGCTAAAATAATGCTTATTTAACCGATTATAATAATATACAATAATTACAGTATAATATAAAATTGGGTAAAATATGACATGTTAAAATGTTGACTTTCCTCCCCAGCCAGCGCTCAATTCCTCCGCAATTATAACTTAAATTCCTCTCTAGCCCCGTCACAACCGTCGTTCCACCTCCACAAACCGTTATGTATCTTGCATACTTATAAAATGGAGAAAAACATAAGCACTGCGATGCAATTACATAAAGCAAAAGACATAAACTCCAAGCAACAGAATCGCATACCATGAAACGCATTTTAAACAATGTACAAACTACAGAAAATATGTGATTGTGATAATTATCTGCATATTAATGCAGATATGTAGAGATTATTACCGTACCTGCTGCTAAATAGGTAAGGGAATCAGTGATTGGTTTGGTAACACTGTTCTATATTTGGAGCCGTTGTTGTCATATGCACAATTAAAGCCTAAATTATATATAAATGACACATTTTTTCTTTCATTTGGGTTGCTTCTGAATGGCTTATTAGTATACTGAGAAAACTGACAAGATATTACCAATATCACCATCAATCAAACGAAATTATACAGTGCATAGTCAAAGCAAATTCATTTTTCCTCCCCCCACCAAGGTCCTCCCTCCCCCTTTAAAATTTAAATCCGCATCAGCAAAATTCAGTTGGAAATTTGATTCGTGCATGATAATTTTATAAGTGCGTCAATTTTTACACATTTACGCAACTTGCTATTTTGTAAAAGCAAACTACACAGGATGACCTAATTAATCTTGACAAACAATTTACAATTTATAGCCCCTACATTATTTCGAACATATCCCAGAATTATGGTACAGTTTCGCCAAAAATCGCACAGTAACTACATATAAACATCAACAATCGTTTAGGCTACTTGACACGCCACGCGTAACAGTTTCACATTTCATTTAAACAATCGATTCCTTCAAGTGTCAGATTCAGGGACAGGCCAGCGAAGGAATCAACAGTATACTTTCAAGTGAAGAACTTACAGAATCCATCAAAACTAATTTCAACATCTACGCATCTCTCCATATATCTGCGGATGTCTCCCCCCTTTCACACTCGTCGTTTTTACATATTGATAACTCACAGCGTAACGCGAAAACAAACACCGTGTTATCAAGCACCATCTAATGTCACAGACCGAAGCTTAGGACACATGGAGCTCGGATAGAAAACAAAATAAAATAAACCACAAAAAGTATTTGTTTATTTTTTAAACAATAAATGAAAAAAATGCCTACAATCAGACAAATTACAGGTTCACTACTCAATTAGTAGTGTAGAACCAATAAACAATTCACGGAGAACAAACCATACCCAAATTTCTCCCTTCTCATAGTATAAACACCTGAAAGCAAAAGCAAGTACCAATTAATTCTTAATGTTGTATCATTTTTTTCCCCAAATGAGACCATGATATGTTATTGTATTCTATTATATATATTAGATGGCACATTATTAACTAACCGCGTTAACCGCGTTAAACGCAGCGCTGCTATTTCAAAGAGTAGTCGCAAAACTGCATTAATAGTCAATAAACTATTATTTTTAACTATATCACATACCTTCTTGAAAAGAATACAGCAGGAATAAAGTTACCAGCCACATGCCATAAATAGCAGGTATATTTCTCAGGAATGTTTTGCAATCCCGACGAGTGTGCAGCGCAGTGTTCGGCCAGGCGAGGCTCCGTGCTGGAGTGGTGGCGATGATACCCCGCGATGTCTCCAGCCTTAGTCTCCGACTCACCAGCGCCGAAAAGCGAGGACTGGCAAACCCGCCTCCTTCCCCTCCCCTGCACGGGACCGTCATTCGACGAGACCCCTCCCCCGGTATTATAATTATCCAGCGTTATAGATGGACTGCGTATTGCGCAGCAAGGGAGGGGGGAGATGAGCGAGCGTTTGGGACAACGCGGGGGGGGTGCAACAAGTAACGGCGAAGGTAACCGCGCATGGCTGCGTACAGGTGACATCTTCGTCGGTGGCACAGGTGTCCGGCTGAGATGAATGAAAGCTTATTACCTGGGCGATACCGTTATTTTCATATGCAACTGTTTTATGGGCATCGACTGCGCATATATATCTGGTGATCGGTGTTGCTCGCAGTGAACCGAGTCACCTTAATGCATAATCTCTCCTCTCCACCCCTACTTCTGTTATTTCACAGCAGCTCACCGCGTCCTTAGATACCCCGTACAACAAAACTCGATACCACTCACCAAAACATACACACCACGGTTCGCGGGGCAAGCAAATGTCACGGAGTCACTTTGCTGCGCGGGTAATAAAACGGAGCATATGAATGGAGATCAGCGTGTTTGCGCCACTTCCGCGCTTAACACACTTAAGTTGCGCAAGCAGCTATCAATAACCGCATCGAAAATAGTAAAAAGTGCACGAATGTTTACAGTTTTAGTTCACATTGCCCCCCCCAGTCCCAAAAGGTTAGAAAAACGAATTCTCTTCAGTGATACCGTCTTATATGTAAATTTGCGAGGCTAATGTTCACTTTCATAAATATTGTATTAAGCAATACATAATACATAAATGCAATACATAAAAAAGAAATATGCTAAGATGAATACCAATAACTTACGCCACAAATGTACAGCCGAGGATTTCTTTTACTATCCCGTTCAATTAAAATGAATTTGGGATAACTTTTGTAACTGAAATATGATACGACGATATCGATTAGTAGTTAATTAATTTCTGATTCTTATTGATTTCCCAGACATTTTGCAGTGACGTTCTCTGTTACGCCATCATTGCTATCATAGAATTTCAATATTGGCACCGTTGTCATATATGGAAATTACTAAGTATTTTTGTATTGGAAATTATACAGAAAAAAAGCAGAGGAATCAAGGGCGTAGGTTTCGGTGTGGACAGTAGGGACGTGTACCTACCAATACGGTGGGGGTACTGTGTGTGTTTATGGGGGCGGGGGTTCGGGATGATTTGGTTAATACACATCGGCGAAAACAACCCTACGCCCTTGGGAGGAAGGGTAATTAGCGAAGAATGGGACTCTTCCAAAAAGTTTTTCACACGTCTTGGGGGTTCACCGCTAAACCCCCTTTGGGAGTGCACTATAGCACGAATGACGGATTCTCTGATGCCCTTAGTGTATGCAGAAGGAATCTTTAAGGAACTACAAAGTCACTAAAATAACAGATTAACGATGTTTGTATGTTTTTTAAACAAAATATAATTATTGATACACTATGTCGCAACATTACTTTGAGTCAATACAAACCAGATTCAAATAAATTGCACTGATTTAGAGGCGTTCTCTGTGTATCCGGGCACTCTTAGGTCTGGGTTAAGGATCCCTTTCATTTCAGACATGAGAGGTGTAGAACTAATTCTATTTTTTTCCGAAGGAAGTTAAATTCAGCGCACTGGCACAGCAGGGCATCTCAGTTTCAAAAATATTTTCCTCAGACTACTTTCTGTGATATTTATCACTCCGCAGTTCGGCAAAGGGAAGCAGGAAAGGCAGTGGTCAACTCCTCCGCACACACTGCGAAACAGATGCAGCCAAATATCCAGATCAAAAGAACTCCGCATACAGATATACGCGGCTCGCTCTCCTTCCCCAACCTGCATATTTACCAATTCTCATCCCATGCAAGAAAAAAAAACCCAAAAACATATACAGCATAGTTATGGGTGGTAACTTTACACTGCCTGGGTATAACTGTCAAATGGCTAATGTAGACCACGAAGTGGAAACTTTCTTGAACTTACACACACTTTATTATTTTAACCTTAAAGTGCCAAGGCAATGATACATTAAAACTGGTGGTAAGGTCACAACAAAACAGGTTAATGAAACTGCAACTTTCAATATTAACTAACCACTGTTAGTTAGACATGAATGAAGGGGGCGCTGATGGTAAACTTATATATAATATAAAAAGCTAGTAATGACTTAAGCCAATAAACATGCATTTATTTGCGGGGGGCTAAAAACATTTTAGGGGGCATGAAGCCCCCATACAGTAGGCCAAATGACGTCCCTGCAAACCACATCTCGTTTTAGATATACACCCTTCCCAACATGAATGACATTATAGCGAACAGCCCTGGCACAACAGTCTGTGGCACACTGGCTCAGGAAATAGAATAGGTGGATATATATCACAGCTATAAAAATAGAAAATACTCACTGTTCTGGGTCTAAAAAGTTAAACTGGTTCAGTTTAACAGAGGAACTGCCATGTGAATTTTAGTGTTAAGTGTTCCTTGTTTCCATTATTGCACTAACATCCATTGTCTGTTAATGATTATTTACATGCTGTTGTTTTTTGTATTGGGTGTGGCCAAATGATTGCACATGCCGAAGCACTTGTTGCACATGGCCAAGAAAACATCTTGAATCTCGGTTCCTCTCCTGCTGCTATTCTGCTCCACGCAGCATTCCGCTATTTTCGGTGAACCTAAACGTCTCAGTGTGATGGCTTTAATAAGCCACTGGTCAGGTGTCTCATGTTGGAGCTGGAAGACAGAATGCCTGTGAGGGCCGTCTCCCACACACACCATGATATTGGAGTGGTCTTAACCTGTTTGCTGTGTTAGGGTTTAACATAGACTGCTATGTTTGTCCTCCATGCAAGAGGTCAGATTTTAATTCCCCTGTCTGTTCTTGGAACTGTTATCTTACTCTGTTCATCTCCATCTCCTTGTTACTCTTTTTTCTCTCTCTCCCTAACCACCCTGCAGGATTTCGACCAGACGAAGATAATGCGCTGTAGATAAAATCAGCCCCCCAATCCCGCATTGTTGCTCTGGATAAATGTGTCTGCTAAGCAACTAAATAGTGAAGTTCAGCCAATCAAAAGCTCTCAGTTGCCTGGCAGTCAGATACAGGCCCACGTCACTGTATGGCTGATGAGCAATTAGTTTCACAGGTAGTAGCTGTATTTAGATGGTCCACACAGTGGCAGAGCATCACGTGAGCAGACTGGAGGGCCTCTGGTCCAGCTGCGTGTGAGGCAGAAGAGGGGGGAACGTTACCCGATGTCCTCGCCCACCGGCTGCTGCAGTTAAGGGGAGGGGGGGGAAAAAATCAAGGGGAGTAGAGGGTGGCATGGCGTGACGTCACAGCGCGTTAATTTATTCAAATGAGGGGAGAGTCATGGCAGGGGGGGGGGGGGGGGGTTCATTGGCGGTTTTCTAATCTTGCTTCGTTTTTTGCGGAGGCTAGGGGGAAGGAGAGTGGCACAAGGAGTGGAGGAAAGGTGGAGGGGCAGCACGAGCTCGGAGGAGGAGGGCATTCGGATACAAAGGACATCAGAGAAGAATGACGTTCCACAGAGGAGAAGACAAACACTCACGCAGGAGCATAACAAAGCAATAAAAGGCAGGTCAGATAGACACTGAGCTAGATATGCTAAGAAATATACATATTCTATAAATGATGTTCTAATACCATTTTGAATGCAAGAGATCCATTGAAATCTTTAGTTCTCTGATTTCAAGATACCAAGGATAAAAAAATTCCCATAAGCACCCAAGGACAAAAATGTCCTTGTATGCAATTCATGCCATTGTCACCTTATGTATGAAAAATATTAAAAATCAGATAACCAGTTACATACCCCCACATCACATTTGTGGGTTAATTTACAGCATTGTCTGCCCATTTCTGAAGATGAGATTTGATGTTTGTACCATTTTTATAATCTGACCCACGGTGAATAATAGACTGTTTCTTTATATTACACTACGTAGTTGTAGGAACAAGCTGTGTAATTGACCTTTTAATAAATCGGCTTTAAAATATCCATGGTGAGGACGGTTGGCAGGAGAAATGCATGCCACCAAGAATGAATTACTAAGATGAACTGAAACACTACCTAATAATCTGAGTGCATTAAAAAAAAAAAAACCTTTTACTGAAGTGTTAAAGGCCTACAACCATAAACAGAATAAGAGGTTTGAAGGTGGACAGATGGAAGTGCTACATTTGTACTAAAATTTCATTCATCTATCAAAATGAAAAGTGATAAGAAATTATGTGAAAAATACGACTGTAAACCAGTATCACCACTGCCCAAGTGCTGATAGTGTCCAGTACGAATGCAGTGTGAAATTCAATAAGGGCGCAAGGTTACCTGGATCCTTTTCGTATATTTACAAGAGTTACTTATTAAGTGGCAGAATAACCGTCACAACTGAAAGCACAAAAAATAACTAGAAACAAAACGCAATGTTAAGATTAACAAATCGATAAAGCACAAATCTTCATTTGTCGACCTCACCACAAACTCCATTTTATTATATCAGCCTAACGGCTGTATCAGCCAATCTGATACCCATCAAGAGGTATACATTACTGCTAAACGCAGTCCGACAAGATATCAAGCTGTACAAATTAATAAAGACGGCAAACGCAATGCATAGACGCTGCATCTAAGGAGGAAAAACGTATCAAGCTGTAATTTAATCTAAGCTTGAGCGGCATCTAGTGGTGGGCATAATATTGCAGCAACATACGCTTCATCATTTTCAGCGCGCGTAACTATTTGACCCCAAAGTCACACATCTAACGTAACCAAAGTTTGGGGATAGTAATAATTTAACAGAAGCGTTTCTTTGTGTTATCTGCCCTGGATAGAGGGTTACACATATCTTTCACGAAATATGGTGAAACCAGCTCGACTTGTTCAGAATTCACACCTGTTAGGGTTTTGTACTCAGATACCTTCAATCACCCAATGCGACCTTGTAAACGAGGTCAAGGTAACCATTACATAACTGACTATTTTATTAATGACAATTAAGGTATCCATGAAGGGGAAA